CTCTCTCTCTCTCACACACACACTCAAAAAAAAAAAAATTCCCAGTTAGAACGTAAATCTTGTTCCTGGGCACGATGTCCGTGAAAGGTTAGTCCGATTAATGGGAGAGGAACTCCCAAGTGAGACGGACGAGGATGGTAGTCTTTTCTCTCGAGAGTATAAACGTCGGGTTTTGGTTTCACTTAGGGTATTCACGTGGAACGCTAATGTTTCTAACCTTAACTACACACGAAGAAATTAAAAAGGCCGCCCTACATGTCGGTTTGTGTCGATGAGACATGAAATGTTGATAGCCAATAATTTTGTCCTTACAAAGTCGTGATTTTGGTCTTGACTCTAGAGTATATCTTGCCTTTTTGAGCAGATGATGAGACTCAAGTGGGCAGCCTGTTTGACAGTCATCCACAAGTTATTGCAAACATAGCTTTTTTACTGGACAAAGAGGAGAAGCCAGGTAAACGGAACTGGAAACATTTAGCTGATATGTTTGGAGTGCCACGAAATGAATCGCAGAGTTTTGGAGAATCCATAGATGAAAATCCAACAGAACGGTTGTTTGAACACCTCTGCGTCAAAAGACCTCGTTTAACCGCTGGGGAGGTAAAAGGACATCTGAAGATTCTCAAAATGCAAGATGTGCTGGATGTTTTAGCAGAAAGCAAGGAAGGTTGGGCTTTCGTGTTATTTAGCCTTTGCTAGTTTTTCAGCATGCCTCTGGAAATATTTAGAAATGTTGCGTGAGGTATTAAATTTATTCTTTTTACTATTAATTTAAGTGTCTCTCTCCACCCAGGTGTGTAATGGGTACCAGCGAATTTAATGCTGGGGGTAACTCTACAATGGACTATAGCATCCCATACAGGGGAGAGTAGAAATACTCCTAGTCGTTAAATGGTACTTAAACATGTAAGACAAGCTCTGGCCTGATAAGCCACTAGGCTCCACGCAGACTACCATTACCTACCCTGGAAAAGTCCCGGATATTCCATCATCCCTGAGTAGTACGAACCCTGATTTATTACAGGGGAGCTTAAGCAATGACGACGATGACACCTAGTAAAAACTCTAGGTCTGTTCAGTACGCTTATGGGTCTAAAAACTTGCTTAGGCTAAATATTTAGCCAAAGCCAACCCGCTTTTGAGATAGTTGGTATTTGATGGCGGTTATTGGAAATATTTTCATCGGAAAAACACAGAGGTAACCGAATCAAGTGAAAAATAACATTCTGTGTATCACTTAGAGAGACGGAAACCGTTGCAACGAAACTCGCTGGAGACACTCGAAAAGTAATCTGACCCAAGACGTAAACTCGAACAATACACTAGGGCATCAAGTTGAGGCGTTTTTAAAAAATAATTTTCCTGTTTACTTGTCGTTGTAATTGTCTCTACAGTGAAAGACAACTCTCCACTGAAAGCCTTATGGGAGGATCTAGAGATAGCAGCACGTGTCTGCAACCTTCTAAATAAGAAGCATACCAGTAGGATACGTTGCTGGAGGCATTTGGGAAACAAACTTGGCGTCAGAAAGGATACGTTGGATACGTTTTCAAACGAAGGAGAAATGATAAGCCCTACGGAAGTCCTTATCCGTCATCTGGGTGCTGCTAGACCCAGTTTGGTCATGGCTGACTTAATTTGGGCCCTGGAGAGAATTGGGAGAACTGATACTTTTTCTGTAGTCGAGGTTTACTTTCCAGGTTAGTAAACAAAGTGTTACAAAATGAATGCTTGTTAGTTTGGTGTTTCTCAAGACGCACTTGAACGATTGTGCTGAAAGGTATATATCGTTCACATTGTGAATTAAGTAACTCACATGTAGCTTAATCGTGCTTCTCATCCCTTGCTTGATCTAAATATCGAGACCACGACCGAGATTGCTTTGTCCAGTTCATTAAGGCTGGTTCTCACTAGCGCCCAAGCATAAGCAACATACGCAGGTGCACAAGGTATCCGCTGACCGGTATCACGTGACGCAGTCCAATTAATTAGGTAAATACTTGTCTTTGATAAAAGCGAGCTCCACAGTAATGTGCTGTTATTTTTTTTCGCGCGAATGATGTAAACACGTCACTTGATAAGCTAAAGCTGGGAAATGTCTGATGATGTCTTAACATGACGTTCCTCGGTTTTCTAAATTTGCGTTTTTATGTTCTCGCGTTCAGTTTTCAGGGCAATTAAATTGTTACATTTGAAGAAAGTCTTGCCAATTTACCTTTGAACGCTGACAGAATTGTTGGAAGGGTAACAGCTTCTATTGGAAAAGTCTTTGAAGGACAATGAACACAACTTCCATTCAGCTCAAAAGATAATATGAAGGGATATTTGTCCTTGGATATTGTCTGTTCCTCAAAGCTCTCTCGGAGAACTCTTCTGTTCTTGCAGCAGATAAAATAAATAACTTTGTTATTTTACCAAGCTTCTAGACAGCCTACAAGGCTTACTAATCGGGAACATGCACTAGATTGAATTGGAACTTGAAGTGTTGTCTGGGGGGGCGGAACCTTTAGAGCAAGGACAGGAACCAACAACAAAGTCCACCCAAATATGACGCTGGGTTAATGAATCGGATCGGAACCACATTAGTGGGAGGCCAGCATTCTCATCACTGCGACTCTTGTTTTACCCTAGTAATGACTTATTCTATACGTCATTACATACATACATTACTTTATTTACCCTCGGATTTCAGAGTAGCTTATGCAGCTAATATCTCCGAGCATTTAACCATCAGATGAGAGATAGCAAACTGGTCTAAGTTGAAAACTAATTCGAATTTTTGCAATTTCGACGAATAACTTTTGCAGAACAGTAAACAAAAGAAAACCGTTTGTTGGTTTGTAAACGTATTTTCCTTCATTTTTGGCTAACAACTCAAGTTGTATTTAACTTTCACAACAGCACACTGAAAAAATGTAAATAAATCCTTAAGCGTGCGTTTACGAAGAATGGATCGCGGAGACGCATTAATTTATCAGCAGTGTTAAAAGAACCATTATAATGAATACTTACTGAATGGGGAATGTTGGTCTTGTTCTTTTTTGCTCGGTTCATAGGCTTGCACAAGAAAAAACACACAACCAATACATCCCTAAAACGATCTTCACCCCTTGAACATTATTGTTTCCCTGTCCTGTTTCTTTATCGGAATTGTCAGCAAGGTGTAAGCAGAATCCAGCAGGATACATTTTCCAGTTACTATTTAGCTAGAACTCTGGGTTGTGTACAAGGTTTGGCCCTTCGCGATACCGCTTCGTATTAGCGTGCGTAAACTTATCAGTCAGTAACAGTTTCATACTAGAGCGGTTTTCAATTGAGTATCGAAAGCAATCAGGCAGTTACTTTGGTTTTGGTTTTGGTTTTATTGCGGTTTGAGATTGAGCGAGTAGTCTAATTGGTAAGTAATTGGTTTGGTTTTTTTTAAACACTCAATTAAAAACCGCTCTAGAAGAAATAATATGCTGGTTACACAGTATCATACTGGCCAATCGGGGAAGTAAAACACACAAAGTACGGTTAGTTATCGATGAGCTAATATTGGATATTGTTGTTTGGGTCTTTCAGATGGCCATATGTCAAGGTTCCTGGATTCTGCAAGAGTATATTTTGGTTATCCCCAACAGCAGGTAACGCCAAGCCCCTTTGAAACAGAAGTATGATCCCAAACCTTTAGAGTACCTCGATGTTTACTCAAGTGGTATGCTATGAATTTGCTTTGTTAACTGAACCAAATTCATGAATTTAAAAGTGACTCATGGGTCACCAAATTTAGGTTAGGAATGGTCCCATAAAAAGACGGAGAGTTTTACAGTTTTATACATCATGAGATTTTAGTTTAGGTAGAAATTTTGTCATAATTTCCCTTGTTCACAACAAAGCTTCTAGGATCAAAAGCTGTGCATGTCAAGTGGAATATTTTAGAACTTAAAAAAATCCCAGTCAGTTTTTCCTATTGGTTGAAAAGACCTCTCAGTGTAAATGAGTAAATGGTAGATTAATCGAACATTTTGGTTCTTAATGTATTAACTGGTTTGGACGGTGTAGAAACTGAGGTTTCAAGAAGTAATTAGCTCTTAGAGATATATATGGAAATAATTTTAAATCGGAAGCTACACAGGACTAATCGCGGAGCTCGATTTACTTATTATTCTCACTAGAAGAACGATGAAATTGGTCACTTAATTACTGTACAATAAAACACACTATGTACGGTTATGGAACTCAAACTATAAGTCTTAATATAGACAGTTTCAGTTTCAATTATTTTCTTGTGTTTCTGTCGAGACCGAAAATGTTTGCCGGACGACATTGAGGCTTTGTTGAAGACATTAATAGCTTCGATTTTAGATCAGCACAACTAACCCGATATGAGAAATTTCGTTTCGTGGTTTCTTCATTCGTGACTGTAAATTGACGTCCTGCGAAGGGAACTGGTAACGATCAGAAAAAAACAGCTGATTAGGCCCCGTCCACACGCCACCGGAGGGATATGAAGACGGAAGTTTTACTCTGAAAGTGCATCAAATGTTTTCCATCCACACTACTCCGGTGGAATTTAAAAACACAACAATCACCGGTCATTTTGGATTTGTGTTTGAGGAAAACTCGGGCAGGGAAATCACGTGATTATCGTGACGTCATCGTTTTCTAAAAGCCCCGTCGGTGTTCAAAATGTTTTCCGTCCACACGAAAACGAAAAGACAGTGTGTTCAAATCCCTCCGGTTTGAAGACCGTTTTCGATAAGCTCCGTTTTGATGACGGATTAGTGTGGACGGAAGGCCTAACCGTGGGAATAAACCTCCGTTTGAGAGAGGGCATGCGGGGACGTAGCGCGAGGCACGCGTTTTAATGCAGCAGTCTACGTCCCCAATATTCTTTCCTTCAATGTGAAAGTAATCAATCTTTTTAGTATCAACGAGCAGGGAATGACCCACGATACAATCATATGGCTGGAAGAGATCGAAAGCATAAACGTGGTGAACGGGGCTCCATTGAAGAAGAACAGTCAGTTTCCAAGCGAACCAACATGGCGGCTGTCGAAGGCGAAACCTTCGCAACAGAACCTCCAACCACCGAAAACCACCACAAAGAACCCAGTCTAACGGATTTAAGAGAGATGTTGGTAGATATACAAATCACAGTCAATAATATTCTATTGGAAAACAAGAAAATCAGCGAAGACGTAAAAGAAATAAAATCCACTGTAAACAAACAGCAAACTGAGATTGTGGACCTCAAGAAACAACTCACCAAAGCCAGGACACAGTTTGCAGCTACGGAGAAAGAGCTCGATGATGCGAAGAAACGAATAAATGAACAAGAGGAAATAGCAGAGCTTTACGACCTCCAAGACCGTTTAGAACAATATACCAGGAAAAACTCTCT